TATAGGTTTTCTCCATAGTGATGCCTGCTATAATAACTTACTGATACAGCGATGTCCGCTATATAGGTTTTCTCCATAGTGATGCCAGCTATAATAACTTACTGATACAGCGATGTCCTTCTCTATAGGTTTTCTCCATAGTGATGCCTGCTATAATAACTTACTGATACAGCGATGTCTGCTATATAGGTTTTCTCCATAGTGATGCCAGCTATAATAACTTACTGATACAGCGATGTCCGCTATATAGGTTTTCTCCATAGTGATGCCAGCTATAATAACTTCCTGATACAGCGATGTCCGCTATATAGGTTTTCTCCATAGATATGCCAGCTATAATAACTTTCTGATACAGCGATGTCCGCTATATAGGTTTTCTCCATAGTGATGCCAGCTATAATAACTTCCTGATACAGCGATGTCCGCTTTATAGGTTTTCTCCATAGTGATGCAAGCTATAATAACTTCCTGATACAGCGATGTCCGCTATAGGTTTTCTCCATAGTGATGCCAGCTATAATAACTTTCTGATACAGCGATGTCCGCTATATAGGTTTTCTCCATAGATATGCCAGCTATAGTAACTTCCTGATACAGCGATGTCCGCTATAGGTTTTCTCCATAGTGATTCCAGCTATAGTAACTTCCTGATACAGCGATGTCCGCTATAGGTTTTCTCCATAGTGATGCCTGCTATAATAACTTCCTGATACAGCGATGTCCGCTATATTGGTTTTCTCCATAGTGATGCCTGCTATAATAACTTCCTGATACAGCGATGTCCGCTATAGGTTTTCTCCATAGTGATGCCTGCTATAATAACTTCCTGATACAGCGATGTCCGCTATACGTTTTCTCCATAGTGATGCCTGCTATAATAACTTCCTGATACAGCGATGTCCGCTATATGTTTTCTCCATAGTGATGCCTGCTATAATAACTTCCTGATACAGCGATGTCCGCTATAGGTTTTCTCCATAGTGATGCCTGCTATAATAACTTCCTGATACAGCGATGTCCGCTATAGGTTTTCTCCATAGTGATGCCTGCTATAATAACTTCCTGATACAGCGATGTCCGCTATAGGTTTTCTCCATAGTGATGCCTGCTATAATAACTTCCTGATACAGCGATGTCCGCTATATAGGTTTTCTCCATAGTGATGCCTGCTATAGTAACTTCCTGATACAGCGTTGTCCGCTATAGGTTTTTCGTCTTAGTAATGCCTGCTATATATTGTTATGCTACATAGTATATTGAGCATGCATGATGATGGGCTTTATAATAAGATCGGTGCATGCTCCGACGGAAGCAGAATGCTGTATGTCAGTATATGTAGTCAACAAACATGCCATTCGTGGCCAAGCCACTAATTAAGCATGTAAGCTCTAATTGCTAATTAACTAATTACTAACTACTAATTACCTGCACTGACAGCTAGTCTATATATAGTTTAAGTTACCATCTTCTCTTTAAATAATTCCCAAGATGCATTTTTCTACTATATCTATTTTAGTTATCTCCCTGAAGTACGAAACTTTGAAACAGTCGTCAAGGTGATCAAAATGTGGACAGCTCTAATTACTAAAACCCACACTGACCGATATCTGTGACCAATTACTTCAACCCACACTGACCGCTATCAGTGACCAAACACTATATATGTACACATAGATCCATTATCTTTATTGCCACTCCAAATAATTAACATAGAGATGAACACCTAAGGTAATTACAGTACATAAATTATACAGACTTAGCTTGTAGACTTCATTTTCTATAATTAACTTTGATGGCATATAGATTACAACTGACTTCGATCGACATCAGTTTAAATTACATACAGCTGACCTTGCATCAACAATGGTTTTATTATTTTCCAGCTGACCAGGTGAGAGGATGTAGTGGCCGGAGAGTGACCGTGTCTGACCAGTCCGACTGGTGTAACTGTGAAGTAGAACCGAGGGATACAGTCTCGTCCACATGACTATCACACCTTTCGCGCTGTTATGTCACAGAGTTCTGATCAGGTAAGTCAGGAATTTAGGGTAAAATTATGGCTTCGATCACAATATGACTGTAATGTAAAAAAACACCTTTTTTGAGGTATGTTAGAGTTAAAATTTCAGGTAAAATCATGGCTTTGATCACATGACCATTATGTAAAAAAGCATATTTAACGAGGTATGTTATATATAGTTCTCAGGTGTTTGTACGGTCAAAACCTGCTGTGACAACCACTTCCATTTAGGGAGACCACCTGTGTTAGGAATCCACTTTTGATGTTATCCATTGTAGTGGTTTAATTGTGAATAAGAGACCACCTGTATTAAGAGTCTACCTCAATTAAGAGACCACCTGTGTAATGAGACCACATGTATTAAGAAACCATCCGTAGTAAGAGGCCACCTATGTTTAAAGACCACCTATATTAATAGACCACCTAGCTGTGTTAAGAGACCGCCTGTGTTAAGAGACCATCTGTGTTAAAAGAGACTACCTGTATTAAAAGAGGCCACCTGTATTAAAAGAGGCCACCTCTGTTAAAAGAGGCCACCTGTATTAAAAGAGGCTACCTGTGTTAAAAGAGACCATCTGTGTTAAGAGACCACCTGTGTTAAGATACCACCTGTATTAAGAGACCACCTGTATTAAAAGAGGCCACCTGTGTTAAAAGAGACCACCTGTATTAAAAGAGGCCACCTGTGTTAAAAGAGACCACCTGTGTTAAAAGAGACCACCTGTGTTAAGAGACCACCTGTAATAAGAGACCACATGTATTAAGAGACCACCTGCATAACGGATCTGAATATTTTCCCTTAATCAGGTTTATGCACATCATTGGTGTAATTTTAAGTTGGGCTGCAAAGTGCAAAACTGGTCACTTTCAGGACTACTTAAAGCTTGTACAATGGTGACTAATTTATGAAATGAACAATAATGTATACAATTCAATTATCTTAATACTGGTAAATATCTACTTTTGGTATGTGACTCTTTTCTTTGACTTAAAAGTATCCTAAAATAACTCTTCTGTATATATATGACAGTGAAACGCTAATTTAAGTGCAGATTAAGTACATGTTATATACATATATATATGTAATCTCAGCGATTTGATATATAAAGGATACACAGGCTGATACAGCTGTAAACCAATATTGTTAGTCTGCTCAAGATGACTTATATGCAAACTTTGATACCAATTAAAGTAATACAATTGGATGCAGGAAGTTTGACTTTTGTCAGGGGGCCAAGTTTTCTTGCAGTAGTTGCTTTAAAGTGTTCGGAAATAAAGGTTACATGTGGCCACTCTATAACAATACACATCCATCTATATGACTGCCAAGGAAATATAGCACTGGGTCACTTTCGTCACGCTATATTGTTGTCTACAAATTATTACTAAGATATGACAGTCATCACAGACGATTGGCTTAAGTTTGTTTCACTATCGAAAAATGAAAGGTTTCCTCTGATGCATTAATGCACAGAGTAATATGAATGCACAAACATGTATGTTTCATTGAGCTAAGATTGAAAATTGAGGTAAAAAGAACTTCCAATCTGGTTTAAGAGACAACTGTATGAAAGTTCAGAAAAGTGGTCTCTTTATGTGGGTGGTCTCTTTATACAGGTTCAGTTCACCATGAAATCACTGCATGTATGTAACATGAAGCTAAAAATTGATTTACTAATAAACAAGTACATTGTACAATCAAACCTGTATTAAGAGCTAGCTGACCACCCTAGAACGTCCAGAGTGATCTCCTAACGAAGGTGGTTTTATGTTGGTATGAATGCAAATCGGCTACATACATATTATGTAACCAATTTGCATTCATACCAGCATGAATGTTGAAAAAAATGCCATTCAATCCTTAAATTTACATTATAAATTTTCAGTAATTAATTTTCCTAAATACAGATAAATGTATTCCCTGATGTTTTTGATTTGGAGTCTCTGTGTCGTCAGTGTAAACAAGATTCCTGAAACAGACCATCGTCACCTAAAATGTTTACTTCTAATGGTTGTCTCACGTTATTCGAAGGGGGAGGAGAGGCTTCAAAATGATGCAGATGCAGTTGCATTCATAGCCCTATGAATGCACTTTCTTATGGTAAAGAATATAGAGGAGCTTGCAGTGGAAATGTAAACATATAGAAGCGCTTTAGAGTGGCTTATGTTAGCTAGATGGGGCGCTATATCAAATGTTGTATATTTTATTTATTTATAAAATAAAATAACTGCAGTGGGGAATACTAAAAGTGGCCACATGCATCACACTGGTGGTCTAGATCTCTTAATGGGAGCAGGTCGCATGAGCTGCTTGGACTGGACATCTTCAACATGCTGGTTGTACCATACATGAATTATAGTTTGGGTGATGCTGAACAGCTAGCAATAAACATTTATACCCAGGTATTATTCCCTGATATATAGAAATCAAGATGAGCTACTGGCACAATATTGTGAATTGTCACCATGGAGACCAAGATTTTCCTTTACATGAAAACATATCAATGACTTTTTGTTTTGCGTGAAGGATCATGTTATGAGTTTACATCTCCAGGTTTTAGCGTGATGTTGGATTACAAGTGTAATATGGTGTTGTAGGTTATGTATTATGGTACAAGCGGTTTACGTTTCGTTTTCATTGCGACTACAAAAGTCAGGATCAACATGCGAACCTATACATCAGGCTTACATATATAGACATATATATGATCTACAAGGAATTAATGATATTTGTGACGGGAATGATCAAAACAAAAGTACATTATAAAACACGGTACTTAATAAATCGTAAAAGATAGAAATGGAGATATGATTATTTGAGGAACAAAAGGGTCAGTGTTAAAGGGCTAGGTCAGTGTCCTGGTATTTTAGCCAGTGATCTGACCACTTCTCCATATACTTTGTGATGACCACATAGTGTCCTTGTATATATATAAACATTATGACCATTATATTTTTATTACTATAAGTTACCACAGTGGGCTGTGCTTGTTCAAAGCCTCTTTAAGTTTTTAATGAGCGAGTGGTAAATTCAAATTTGAATCTATTTTGAAAAAGACATATCTATTTTGTTCAATCATTTTGTCATTTTGTCATTTTATAATAATACTATATTAGTTCATAATAATACTTACCAACTTCGAAATTTCCACATAGAGGAGATTATGCCTTCTCAGAATTAATAGAATCAATTAAATGTGTGTGCATATGTATGTACACCCAAGGGGGAAAATGCTTTTAAATGGCACCTTTTGAGCTGTTCTTTGAAATGAAATCATCTGGTCTTAGAAAATAGAAATATGCTCAATTCTAGGGTCCAAATTCGGGAGTCTCCCTTCAAAATAAGGAGAGTTGGCAAGTTCAGGAGGCACGGTAACCAAGTGGTAGGACGCGGGGCTCATGACCGAAGGGTTGCGGGTTCGAGTCACTTCACAGCACTGTGTTGCATCTTTGAACAAGATACTTTAATATGCTTGTTCCAGTCTACTCAGCTGTAAATGAGTACGTGGTTAGGCCATGCTAGAATTGTTTTGAGCACCTAAATGTCAGCACCGGCTGTATGCTCCCCAGGGAGTTGAGAAAGATATTGGCTAGTTGCAAATGCCAAATAATTATAACCACCGATAATAATTTGTGAACAACTAGGTTGTGATAAAGTGGTATATACGAACCTCAAATAATTATTATTAGATATTATTATTAAGAATGTGGCTAATATGTCAGTCTCTCACAAGAATATAACATGTAGGACACAAGATGTGATGATGGATGTAGATGTACTGACACCAGAGAACTTGTACAGTTAATGACCTCTTTACTCCTTCAACTCAGGAAAGGTGTAGGTCGACAGAAATTTAACTCCTGGTAAAACTTGTTGATGTAAGAAGTCTGTACGATGATTGATATTTGATGTTAGATGTCTGTCATTAATATTTTCTTGTGTCTGTTGGTGATTGGAGCTTGCTTCTCCTAACTGTGACTATAACAGCAGAGTGAAGAGTTGTTGAGGAGGTCATCTGAGAGTGTCATCAACCCAAACTGTTTATGTTAGTATTATGGGATGCTAAGTATTATGGGATGCTAACATCATGGTATCAGAGAGGTTGATCAGTATTAATGATCTCGGCAGGTTTATAGGTTAACAACAGCCAATGTACTGAGAAAATGGAGGCTGGGAGGTTGACTAGAATATTCATAAGAATAGCAAGGCTACTGAGCTATCTTTGCTTTGTTTTAAAACATAATGTTACATCTTAATTCTTGTATATTGTACGGTGGGGTTGACATGGTTAAGGTTTGTAGTATTCACTCTATTATTAATTAGGGTACCAGAGAGGGTAATTAGGGTACCAGAGAGGGTAATTAGGGTACCAGATAGGGTAATTAGGGTACCAAAGAGGGTAATTAGGGTACCAGAGAGGGTAGTTAGGGTACCAGATAGGGTAATAAGGGTACCAAAGAGGGTAATTAGGGTACCAAAGAAGGAAGACTTAGAAGATGTGACTACTACCGGTGGTGAGGTAGATAAGTCCAGGGTTAAGGCTTGGAATAACGAGAGTTAAGGTTTATCAAAACAATATTTCTAACCAAAAAAAAAAAACGAAATAAAAGGCTACTATTTGTAATTAGCTTGCATTTTTTTTGTCTTGTTGCATGTGATTTCTCACGAGAAACAAGATTAAAGCAAATTGATAAATCTCGTCTATTACGGGCGGAAATACAAAAGAAAAAGAATTGAAGGTTACTAAATCTTGTCTTTTTGGGCAAAAAGATGAAACAAGGAAATGGCGCAAATCAGTCACCGTAGTTTATAGCTATATATATAGTCACTCAGTACTCCGAGTGGGATGAAAGACTGCATGGGAGGACAGGGTGTAGGTTTTGAAGAAGTCACTGCTACTAGCCGTTGTTGGAGGCTCGTAATTAACCCGAGGTGGTAAGGGGTACATGTACATATACATTGTATATATATATGGACCAGACTGATTGATGGAGAATGCCATTTCTCCA